TAAGAAGAAACTACGTGAGAATTTTGATATCATATTGCACAGTGATTAAATAAGCTTTTCAATATTTCTTTAATTAAAATAAAAATTACGACGCCATGAGAGGGCATGGTGTATACTGTCCGTGACATTCAACCAGAACAAATATTTGTTTTCAATGAAAACTGAAATAAAGATGAAACAAAACTATCCGCACAATCATATAGCTTGGGTCACTTCAAATAAATATCTGATATTCACGCGGGATAGCGTGCATAATTGGTCAGAATGCATACAAGGAGCAATTGTTTATTTGGTCCCTTTTTGGTGGTTTCTTTTAAATTTGAGTGAGACTATGTTACAAGCGATCAACAAAAATGGCTGCTTACTATGAATGAATTATCTATGAGATAACTTTATATTTCTGATTTTTCGTTTCTTGTGGTGGCCCGAGGTTCGTGTTCAAACTGTAGTTACCTGTTTTTATATTTTTTTATTGCTGTTTTTTTTTTGTCGCCTCTATATATTCATGGTGTTGTATGATCTTATTAGTGTTATGATTCTTAATCCCCCCCTTTGGGGAATTTTCTCTTATGTTCAATGACAACACATGCAATTTCTTGTTTCCTGTTTGAAATAGATTCTCTAAATTGCTCTCCGTCATAAATATGCATGAAGTATTTGCCACTGGACGTTCGTCAAACAACTATCAATCATATCTCCTCTAAGATTACAGTACAATAATGACCTTTAACATAATTAAATAAAGATTAAAGATTTTAAAATCTTTTGAGAAGATATTTACGCATCTATTATTTCACTTTTTGGGAAAAAACCATTTTACTACACGAGTTGTTTGTTTCATGATGATGAATGACTGTTTAACGTCCAGCGGCAAGTTAGATGCATATTCTGGACGAGAACATGTAATTTGCGCACATCGCCTCTATACTCTGGTATCTAGGGTATACAAGACAAAATCTGGACATCACACATGGAGTCCAGAATTGATGAGCTTCTCATGAAGATGCAGCATTTATCCCACATACCATGGACGAAAGTGGCAGTGAGCAGAGTGTAGTTGAAGAATAGAATATTAATTTTATCATTGTTAGGTAGCTGTCACATTGACGTTTATCTCAGAATTCCTCTTGCTCATCTTTTTGAAACCTATTTGTTTATATCGTACTTTTTGCAACTAAGCAAACTTTTTGAAAACTCTTAAAACATTTTTGTTGAAAAATAGTTCACATTTCATTTCCCTTTAAAGAAAACAAACATTGTGGAGAGTTGTCTCATTGGCAATCATACCACATCTCCTTTTTATATAGAGACGAAAATAATTGATCTTGTATATTAATTATAGTTAGAGATAATACATTACTTGAATGGATGCAGCTTACATACACTTATATCGTTACAATCAACGCCAAATAAAAAAAAAACCCTGATATTCATGGATTTCTATTAGTTTTTAAATGAATCCATGCACATCATTCGGTATCTGGGTTGAAAGTTGTCTTCTTTGCAATAATATCACATCTTCTTTTTTTCATACGGATTGAGGCATGAATCTGTTTGATTTGACCAAATGATAATAAAATTAATAACAAAATTCACTCGAACTTTTTTCGAGATAAGAATGATAGTTGTATGTGGAATACCGGAACACTTTAACCACGAGCAAGACTAGTTAAGATTACAAGATAAAAGCTAATTAAGAATAAATTGACAATTGTGAAAACCTTAAAAAAGAATTTCAGTTTAAAACTTAAAGGGGCATTAGCTGTCAAATTCATGTTCACCGATTTGACTCATATTCGACTTATAACATACTTAAACGTATATCCAAATTAAAAAAAAGTATAGAATAAACAATTTACGGTGCATAGACTCGATAGTATGTCTCAGCATTTCGTGTGTATTTTAGTCTAGACGCCATCTAATTAACCATCGAGGCGACCTTCTGAAGACTGCCGACGGTCATCTTACCCGATATAAACATAAACAAAGATATAAATAGATAGCAAACTCGTGCAATTGGATTTTTCTAGGTCTGTTTGATTTGATATTATAGGTTAAATCAATATGTTAATAATCGTTTTTACCTGTATAAGAATAAGTTTTTGTAGATCGAATCAGTCAACCAAATGGTTTACCCTTGTTTCACTTCCAATGTTGACATTCTTTTTCTTTTAATACATGAACACGCCTATTTCATGCGTAATCCATCTCTAGCTAAGGGGTTCAATTGAACTTCACATGAATACGCATTTAATGAGGTCGAATTATCCACTTGCAAGTGAATAATTCATAAGCGATGTTTCTTTGCTTATTTTGACAAAACTGAACCTAGCAGCCTAAAAGCGAATTATTATTTCACTTTCATTAATGGAGGAAACAAACAAAAAATCTTTTTTTTCTGTATCTCGTAGCTAATGCCCCTTTAAAATATTTAACGAGAACACGAATCATAAAATAATAAAAGTATTTGTTCTTTTAAAACGTAATTGATAGAAACATGCATAAGTCGGATAGATTTAATTGAAAATAGCTAAATCGCTAAATGAAATCGTCCACAGCGGACAACTGAGAATGAGTATTCTGTCAAATTTTTTAGTTTTTTAAACTAGGCAGTGGCTATTTTGCCGCCGCCGGCAAAATAGAAAATATGCTATTTTGTCGTCTTTGATTAAAATATCTTAATTAAAACAAGCAAAATAGCATATTTCGATAGCAATGACTATTTTGCCGGCGCCGGCAATATAATGAATTTGTTATTTTGCCGGTTCTTTGTAAAGAGTGAATTTTAATATTTACTTGTGAAAAATACTACGAAAATGTGCATTGTCAACATAAAAGAATCAAACTATTATTCGACATATAGCTGAATAAGATAAATGTCACAATATTTGAGATACATATAATCGTTTATAAACATGTATGAGTCCAAGTGAAAATAAGAATTTGTAAAAAGGAATAAAAATAAAAACTATTGAGCATCCATTTGAAGCAATGAAATCATATAAAAAATGTAGTTGAAACTACTTCTAATATCAGTCTAATGCTACATATATGCATAAGAATAAAATCTGAGATTTTTAAACTATGCTGTAAAAAAATGAAAGACAAAATCTCATGGCATATCGGTTTGATAAAAACGTTATACAGTCTTTAAAAAAATCAATCACATAGCTTCAAAATCAAAAATGTTTAAATTTAACTTAGTTTTGAAATAATAGTCAGTTTTGAATTGCATATCTGTAAACATAATCTTTTTTACTGGCATGCTGGCTTCCACTTACCGAGAATGGCAAAATAGCATATTTTCAATTTTGGCGGCGCCGGCAAAATAGCCACTGCCTTTAAACTATTACTTTTTCTAGTAAAAAATGTTTATCTTTATCTGTGTTTTCATCTTTTACTTCTTTACTAGAAAATAAACTTTTCTGTGTTTAAGTGAATCACGGTTTTCTTTACATATACAAATAAGATGATGTGGTGTGATCAACTATCCTCATATTTTTTTACGACTGTACTTCGCTCGCCAAGATATTTTACAGCTGTCAATCTAAATTCCTTCTGCCCAATAGGAGACATTCATTGCTTATGTTTTAAAATCCTTTATGACTTTTAATTTAATCTATGCTATAGAATGATGTTTGTTTACATAGTCTCTGCAACTTCTATTTCGAGAATATCAATACAGAAAACGAGTATTCGGGCCACTTATAAAAAATTTAATTGAAGCGCTTATGTGCAGCTTAAGCCTTAATATTAGTAAATTTCTGTTAATAGAGTTAAAACAAAAACAAGATATATGGACGAGATTCAAGAAATAGTTTGGAAAACAATTCTTGTGGTAAAATGATTATAAAGTTACTAGAACGTTCATGAAACAATTTTAACGTTACGCGCAAATGGCTAAAGTACCATTGTACCATGGTCTTTTCTGGCGCCCTGGAAAATTATACAAACACAGTTACAAGTCTAATGGTTATCGTTTTATGAACTACACTAGTTAGTGATCCTTCTGCAGTAATTACGTCAATTTCTGAGTCAGGGCCGTTTTTAACCCTTCGTAGCCTTACTCCAAATCACACAGTTATACAACAAACAACTATTATTGGTAAAAAACACTATTTTGTTAAAGATCTTATCCACCCTATTATTATGCATATCATTTTAGCCAAATCGATAAAAATATCAAATAACTACATTTTTAAATAGGTAAATGTAATCAGATTGGAATTATATGTTAATGCTAAATTTTCATAGTAATATAAATAAAATTCTAAAAATTTTATCCCTGGAAATTATATCAAATCTCCCTCGTCTTCGTGCAACAGAGTTGTATAGTGATCGTTCGTCCGTCAGCGGATTCAGTCTGAAACTCCCATTAAATCAGTGACTGGTGTAAAAACAAACGTTGGAGAATATTTCGTACCTAATTACATTTTGCATCTACTATTCTATCTTTTGAAATGGATAGGCTTTAGTTTCCTATCCCGTATAATAATTTGCTTTCTATTTTATTAATTTAAAAGACGTTTGTGTAGAACTGCCACGTTTACTGAATATCATTTGAAAAAAAAAACATTAAGTGGTCCTATATAGAATTTAACTGATATATCAACAAATAAACAACATCCAAAGAATATGAATATGAACGCTGAACTGTCATTCAACTAGAAATAAATAAATAAACTAAAAATGTTCTATTTTCATAATAACATTTACGTCACGAGTTCAGAGTAATTAGGTCATTGACAGTTTCTGTATAGTATATTTCTGTAATGTATGGATCTCGGTATAGATAGACTAGTCATGGATGGAAATCTTTGTTTTAGTTTAAAACATCCTATTGCATGATTGAACAAAATAGGTTTAATGTTCGTATGCAACTTAATATATATATATTATCAAATAAATCAGTTACACATGCGATGTTTTCAATGTACTTTAAGTTTAATACTTGCAAAGTCATTCATACGTATGACATTCATAATATTCATTTGAAGCAGATTGATGTGATATTTGAATACGAGTACTGCGATGGATGTGAACCAGCAACATCGACAGATATTTCTGATCCTGTGCCTTTTTAGTTGCATGAAATTGTTTTATTCATCAAGTAAGTCATTATGTATTTATTTCCTTTTAGAGCTCCCAAAATAAGAGTTTTCATTCTTTTCCTTCTTATTTTTTTTAATATAATCTGATTGATAATAATACGAACATATTTTCTTTCGCTTGCATTTACGAAGGAACAACAAACCTTTTGCACACAAATTGTTGGACTTGGACCCACCTAATTATAATTGATTGTTGTTTGCTAAACATCCAGTGGCAAATATATCAAGCATATTCAGGACTAGAACAAGTTAGAAATAAATACAATATGGTAGGTTCTCTAGAGTTAGATGGCCGGGATGAAGGGCGGGAATTTTATAATGTCACTGGAGGGGAGCAGAAATTAATAATACCTCCCCATTTCGACAGGACATTGCTTCCTGTCTATTAATTACTCACAGACGAACGGATGCCCCTCCTTAACATGGGTTGTACTGCAGGTTTAGAGAAGACCTGGGCCCGTATGCATTAAGCTACTTAAGGTAAGATTTTCCTTAGTAAGCTCTAAGCTAAGGAAACTGCGCCTTATTCACCTAAGTGGTATGCATAAAAAATCTTGAACTAAGTATTTCCTCAGTAAAATCTTAGTTGGCTTAAGTTACGCTCACAAAACTTAAGTGGTATGCATAAAACCCCTTAAACTAAGAAAACGTCTAAGATTTTACTTAAATTAAATGTACCTGTAAAGCTACCCAAAAGTTTCATTTCATTCTTCACTTTGTCTCAATCTCGCTATTTGAGTATTCCGAAAAGTACTCTCAATTTTATCACGCATGGAAGTCATGCTATTATTTTTCTTTTAGTTCATCTGTTCGTCCATGCTTACATAAATAACATTGAATGTTTATATTGTTACAATATAAATCAGAGAATGAGGTTTTTAGTAAAGAAATGTCCCTGTTTTCATATGAATTTGTGGGAAATTTGTCCTCCCCCTTTTTGTTGTTGTAAGAGGTAAGTTATAAAAAAGTAAATCAAAATAGATTAAAAAAAATGAAAAATCTTTATTCTGTATTGTTCGATATGAAAAATATAGGGTTGTCTTTCGAAAAAAAAAACATGTCCCTCTATCCAGCAAGACCTATGAAAGATGATTGGTCGGTGCCTTAGAGATGGGACAAATCTGATGATTTGGAACTTTTTCACTAGATTTTACTAACATATACCATTCATCTGGATGATATGCTACAAGTTATGTTGAAAATCTTTTTAGCGACTCCTAATGCAAGTGATTAAAGTTTTGTTTGCTATTTGAAAAAATGCTAGTGGATGATTTTGAAATATTTAAAAATTTTACATTTATCACTCCATGCACGAACTGTCTCACTTCTTTTGAGTCTCTTCGTCATCTCTCCACGTGGAATTTTCTGTACTTATTATATTGTTACACATTTGTTATTTCCTTCCATCCCCAAGGGTGACTGGAAGTAGAAATACGGTCAATTTTGTCTTCTTCCTACCGGCAGTAAAAACCCTTGCTAAAGTAGGGCGTCCGTTTGGCTGTGCGGGATGTATAAGTACGCGACCACAACTGGTCATAATGGAGACGTGAAATCGGATGCCTCATGAAGAGAAAGTACGCGACCACAACTGGTCATAATGGAGACGTGAAATCGGATGCCTCATGAAGAGAGAGTGCCACGCACTCTGTACGTTTTAAACCATAGCAACAACTCTTTGAGGGGATCCGAAGGGGCCTTTTGTATCGCAAAATTTCTTTCCCTATCCAATATAACTTCATTCTTTAGTGGCAGTCCAAGTTTCCTTGACCTTCATCCCGAACAGCCTCTATAACAGTATAACAGGATATACCTATTGTATTTATTGTTAATTTTTTCTCGTCATGAACATGCATGAAATATTTGCCACTGGACGTAAAGCAACCATCAATTTGCATCCAAGCCCCGTTCATCTCTCCTGTTGCAACACGTGGGGGAAGTTTTGCATTACAAATATTGTTTTCTTCACATGCTTATCTTTCAAAACAACATTTTCTCTAATGCGCAAATATGGCATTTGTTTGGACATTTTGTTTAGTTAGTTACGTATTTTTAAATAGTTTTATACACCAACATCAATTTAACTCCAGTTCTGAATCAAATTTTGTATTGTTCAATCAATGTAAATAATCAAATTGAAAACAACCTTTTGCACGGATGAGTACATGCGATTAGCTAACATATATCATACGGTAATTAAAGAAAGGTTCCGACTTAAGTATTCCTTAGTTAAGAGAAGACTTAAGTAAGTTTATGCATACTACTAAAGAATTTTACTTAACTAGGACAATTCTTAGTGAAATATAAGTTTAAGGAGCACTTAAGTTAACTAAAGATGTTTTATGCATACGGACCCAGACGACCATATTTAAATACCTCTAGTCATGCCTTGGCGTTTCCAAATACTGGTATTGGAAACCAGGATATTTGAAACCCGGTAGTATCAAAAGCATTTTAATTGACAAATGTTTCTTTTTTTTATATCAATTTGAAATGTTTTTAATGTTAGTTCATTATAATAATTATAAACTCATCTAAGATGCAAGGCTCATATTTTAGCACGACAGAGGCGCGTTTCGTCTACGTATGGATCATCAATGGCGATCGTTTCAATCCAGTGTAAAGGCCAAATGAATTAGTCATTGAAAACCAAAAGTTCAAAAAAGTTTTGGCAAATATAAAAATAAGAAGATGTGGTATGATTGCCAATGAGACAACTATCCACAAGAGACCAAATGACACAGAAATTAACAACTATAGGTCACCGTACGGCCTTCAACAATGATCAAAAACCATACCGCATAGTCAGCTATAAAAGGCCCTGCAATGACAAATGTAAAACAATTCAAACGAGAAAACTAACGGCCTAATTTATGTACAAAATAATGATCGAAAAAAAAAATATGTTACACAGCAACAAACGACAACATTCGAACTACAGGCTCCTGACTTGGGATAGGCACATACAGAATGTGGCGGGGTTAAACTAGTTTGTTGGCATGTCAACACTGAATTTTGCTTTGGCAGTCAGAATATTGATACCCCTATATATTTGTTTGACTATTATGTTCACACTTATATATAGTTACATCAACTGAAAATATTATGAACTAAACTAATCTGTTTAAAAAAAAAAGGTTTATAATCCCTTTTAAAAACCAGTATCACTTTTTAACGAAAACTGTTTGATTTTAGTGGTAAAAGATCATCATTAAAAGTTATTTTGAATAAATAATGCGTCTTATAATTCTCAAGTTATTTACACAAGAACTAAGATGTCCATAAGTCCATACAAATCCAGAATAAGACAAACAAATACAAACGAAGACATGCCTTAATAACATACATTAGAATATAGCAAAGTGCTCTTGACCAATGAAAATGTAGTATTTGATGTTCCTTAATTGTTAAGAATGAATGTAAATCGTGTTCTTAGTAAGGAATTATCCTATTCTTTATGCCTATTTACAGTTCAAAACAAAAAAATCTATAAATGAGTTACAACTGCCTCGAAGAACATTTATCAGATTGAACGGATTATTGATTGAAAGCTGAATTTTGAAACAAACTCAAACATCAAAATGAGTATGAAGTATTGGTGCATTAAAATTGATACGTTTATGTTATTATGGGAATATTCAGAACTTTAAAATTATAAAAAAAATCAGTACCAAAGCAATTGCAAAAATGATGAAAAAAAAACATTTGAAATTAAATATAACATAAATCTTTAGCTTATACGCTTAAATAACTGTATCCGCAGTTAGTAAGCATAGTAATTTCCAATATACCGATACAGAAAATAGATTAACTTTAAAGCATTTTACTTGAACATTTTAATTTTAGGTGATTGAATGTTTTTGATGAAAAGAGGAGGAATACATTAACTGTGAAAAACTATTTAGTTGTAACTCAGATTTTGAATTAATTAAAATGAACTGTAAATAAACAAAATAATGATTCCCCACTAAAATATTTCATAATTTTACATGTCTAAAACACAATTTATCAAAATTTCCTAAATCATAAGTAAGTCCTTTCATTACTAAGTCTAAACCATAAATGAACTGCAAAAAAAAAAAGGATGTCATGCATTAATTATAAACATTGCACTTACAAAGAAAGGAATTTTTTATTAAACCCAATCAAAGAGGTCATTTGAACCTTGAGCACTTTACAATATTCTAAGTTTGTAAGAGAAAGATAATCTTTCTTCATGATAAGTACTCGCTAACGTTCGTACTTAAATATGAAGAAAGGGATTATCATTCTCTTACTCGCTAACGCTCGTACTTAATCATAAAGAAAGGGATTATCATTCTCTTACATATACTTTGTTCTGTTTCCGCCATTTCACTAAACTTGCTAAATTGATCTTTATAAAAGATTGAATAAGTCAAAGCTTGACTGGATATTGAAGTCCGTAAGGCATTACATACATGACATACATCCGATATTTATCTTCATTTGTATCAAAAAAAGTTACTCATCAAGATAAATACACGGATTTAAATTGGACATTTCTAGGTTATTATCACATAGGTATCATATCGCCTTTCTATAAACAAATGTGTCACTTTCGATTGCCTAATTACTATAAGCATGATGAATGATCCCAAAAAACAGTCATTTCTTGTGTGACATTGGACCTCCTGATGTAGTTTCGTTTGTTGTATCGTTTGGTTTATGTCTAATTGACCCCCCCCCCCAATTATTTATATTTGGTATCTGAACATTTGGAAGGAGAGTTGTCTCATTGGCACTAATACCACATCTTCTTATATCTATAAACTTTCATTTCCATATTTTTTGAATTTATTAACCGGATTGAAAATCAATAAAGTTGAAGTTTTTTCTGGCGCCATAATTTTTGAATAATTATGAAAAGTATATGTCACAATTGACCACATACATGTTCCATTTGTTATACCCACAATCCCGTCCTCCTTTTCCTAGGTTAGTGCGGAACTGCTGGAAATTGAACTGTACTACAGAAGACGTGACATGGGTATAGAAGAAAGTTCCTATGCAGCAGTAAACCCAACTCTTGTCAATTTGGATGTAGGATTTCTCGTATATTTACACAGACACGACTGGTCGGCGTAGAAACGTTACGGAATCATTACAATAACTGTTTGAGGTGTTCATGGGTGGCATTTTTCAATGCAAATTTTTTACCTCATCAAGTATACCCACAATTTTCAATGGCTATTAAGACTTCTTGTCCTTCATCCTTATCGGCCAACTTTGCAAAATCTGCAGATTGTTATAAATGTTAATTTGTACTTGAATATTCGACTCATGCCGATACAAATAAGTCTATCAATTAATTTTACCATTGTGAACTTTCCATTTCTATGTAGCAACATTCCAGCAGCACCTGCATCAGGAGTATATCACTCCAAGTTGAAACATCAATGATGAAAGATATATTTCAAAGAATTTATTTGAAAATAATATAATATTTGAGTTGATCACTAACTTTTGAGTTTGGGATCTGAAGAGACAATAAGATCTGCTTCTTGAAAATTGACACCTATGGAATAATTCAAACAAGGGTTTATTAAACAGTGATGGTTGTAGAGGAAAGTGAATGAATTTGAACTGAGTGATTACTTTTGGACATAATATTGTTACACGTGCCTTATATATTTTTATATGAGTCTTAAGAAAACAACCATCCTGCAACTTAATGGGTATCGGATCGGCGTAAACTGACGATAAAAGAATATTCAAGTCTAAATATTTGTCAAAGGTTCCGATAAAACATACGAATCAATATATAACGTATAATTAACAACAATTTGATTGTTATACTAGTACATAAATATAACGTCATATTTTTTGCCTTTCAGATGTGGTGATTAACGACCGAAATTGTATGACCAATAACAGTGTGTTTGTCAATAAAAGCAGCCCTTCAATCAATTTCAGTTCCAGCATATCTGCTACTTTACTTCGTTCGAGTTGTCTTATTCATATCCAATATACAGACTTCCAACCCATATTAAAATACAATGCTACAGTTAAACTAATCGGCAATAAAACATTGTATGGAATGATTGTTGTTCATGTGTTTGCTGGGCATCCGAATCTAAGTAAACCTGTTGAGGTAAATGTATTTTTTAGATAGAACATATTTCTCGTAATATGGGTGTAAATGAGATAACATAACTCAGAAGAAATGCAGAGTGGAATCCCTTTGTTATATAAACGTACACTACCGATCGTGTTTCTGGAATATCTTCTAAGAGTTCCTGCTGAAGGTAAATCCAGAAAATCGCTTTGGACGCATGAATTTTATAAAGTGTTGTTTTCATTTTTTGACTTGTACGCACAAAATCAAAAGTTGGGAAAGGCTAAATTATAAACTATGTTATAAATATGCACGGTTCTTCCATTTTTTCTTATTGATTGTCGTCTTTAATTGTGTCGATGTTTGCATCTTAAAAAACAAACTTGTTCCGATTTAATAGTGTCAAGGTATAAAATTACTCTGCTAAATATATATTGTCATAGTATTACTTGTCCAAGGAAGGTAACTTGATTACAAATTTACGAAACTGTTTGGAATTAATCATGGTTCTTAGTTTTAAACGATTATACATAATATAATCATTTTATATTGGTTGTGTTGTCTTATGATGTTGACCTTTGCATCTCAAAAGCATGCTTTTCCCTTTATCTTAGAGTATATAGGCTATGACATAACACTGGCTAAAACATGTTTAAATATTTTAATTTCAGACGTTTTATGCACCAAATAAAGAATGGTCTGGACATTTACCATCGAGTGATATGTATATAAAATTTGTCAGTCTCGTTAAGACAGAGTTTACTATCAGTATTTCTGTGAAAGAGTGTTTGAAAAACTGTTATGAGCTCAACATGCACAGTATTATACCCACAACTATTGGCAAGTAAAGTATGAGTTCATTGGAAGTAACTTAAGTTACACGTACTTGATTTTTATCTTTACTAAATCACAAGCAATCACATGAAACGATTGAAGTTGATAACTCATATTAGATTATAATTCGAAAACCACTTTACAATAAAAAAAAAAACACAGCATAATAACGAACTCTGTTACACAAAATTGATATAACTATAAAATGAACACCTAATTTGTTAACACATAGTTAAGGAAAACATTTCAAAATGGAAATTCTAGCATCAAAACTAAAAAATTGATTGTATGTGTGGAATTTCTTATGTCATGCCTCTAAATTTATTAATGCAAGGACCAGCACCAAAAGGGGTATAAGACGACAAAACACGAATGTTCTTCCCAATACCGGGTTAGAAATCATGTCGGTGTCGAAATAATTAAGACTTAACCCATCCAAGTACACAAAAGATATAAATATGAATAATCTCCTTTTAAAAAAAATACAAGTGATGTGGTAAGAATGGAGAAGGTTAATATATGTATACAAAGTTTGCCTCTTATTATCAAATCTGTCTTAAAGGGCATTTCAAATAGTTATTGTATTAAACACGACACATGAAAATCTCCTGAAGAAGGTTAATTATGTGGGATGTAGGAGTAAAAAAGTTGGATCTGGAAAAAAGAAAGAAAAAAGTGGAAGTTGGAAGGAAATTACAAAAAAGCGGGATTTTGGAAATAAGCACCCCTCACTGAATTGAGTATTATGAATTCTGTATTCAATATGTCGTTCTAATTACTACATATTAGCAGTCCTAGTATTGAAAAATACATTTTTCTTCCAAATCACTAAACTAATTGAAATAACACTTGATATGATTGATCCTTAGAGTGTCTGAATAATATTTGTAAAATGTGTTACGGTTCATCAACCAACATGACCGTAATGGGTAAAATGCTAAGAATAGAACATGAAGATAAGATGTAAGTACTTGTCTCAAATTTAAAAAAAAACCAACATTATTAGTACAGAAATATGACAAGACAAAATTGTTCAGAATGTCACTTTCTATATATGTACCCTTAATTCTCCAATAAATTACCAGACGACTCCTTGTGGGAGTATCTGCAGTTGAATGGCGATTTTTTACCACCTTTAGCGATTTTGTCTTTTATCTTGAAAACAATAGACGTTAGGCAAATTTTTAAAGAGACAAAAACGATAAAATAGATGGACACAAACTGATCAGTGTTATCAGAGGTACAGGTATACATGTATTATGTGAATGAACCTTTTAAGGGTCATTACACTTAAACCAGTCAATCCAAGCAATTGTACCTAATACAATAGTGAAAGTTTTTATAGATACAGTGCCCTTTAATGACAATGTTGTCTAGTTGTAGCTTTTTTGCATGTCATCTTGAAAACTTTATTAGATAGAAGCAGAAAGGGTCCGTAATACATGCTATTTACTTGTTTTTGTGTATTGTCTTTTTGATTGAGTTAAGCCATTTCAATTGATATTTTATTGTGTGTCTTTTTATGTTGTAATGTTATACCACTGTTTCAGGTTAGGGTGAAGGTTGGCGCCTGTTAAAACGTTTAAACAAGCTGCATTTTTATGCACCTGTCCTGAGTCAGGAGCCTGTTGTTAAGTGGTTGTTGTTTGTTGGTGTGGTTCATAAGTGTTTCTTGTTTTTTTATATAGATTAGACCGTTGGTTTTCCTGTTTGAATTGTTTTACCCTTGTCTTTTTGAGGTCCTTTATAGCTTGCTGTTCGACGTGAGCCAAGGCTTCGTGTTGAAGACCGTACTTTGAACTATAATTGTTTACTTTTTACACATTGTGACATGGATGGATAGTTGTCTCATTGGCACTCATACCACATCTTCTTATTTATATCTACAAGTTTGTTTCATGGCAAACAAATTTTTCACACGTAAACATATTGACTGTTTGTGAAACGTTTACATCGTTAAGTTAGACCAATATGTAGTGATAAATACAGCTAAGGTAATCTATTCCTGGGATAGAACATCTTTAGTATTTCGAAAAATTCAAAGTTTTGAAAACAGTTCATTCATAATTATGACCATGTCAATGATAATGCCTGACAACACGGAAGTGCTGACTACTGGGCTGGTATTTGTCGTTCTGTATGCAATTTAAAAACTTTTGCACTACAAGAAAAAATACAGCCCTTTACGATTACAATTGGGCGAACACACATTGTCTCGCTTTGTATAATATCTGCTTTTTAACTTCCTAACCACGTTAATAACACTAGTTAAATATCTTATGATTCATAAAAAAATGATTTTTACAGTTGAATTGCCAAGTCAATGCAGTACAACTCACTGTTTGGACAATTACGCTGTCAGCTATGTTATTAGAGCATCTTCACAGTTACATATAGAACCTTGCAACTTATATTTTCCGGTAACCAGCAACCCGACGATCTGTATAACAGTCAGTAGTTACTGTTGTGGAGATGCAAACAATTGTCATATTGCAACAATCAGTGTTGATCATGCGGTGTATTTTGTAAGTACAATTTACAATAAGTTTCTCTAATAATTTTTACTGAAAAAATAAAATAAAAATAAAAATAAAGTGTTCTTCCACATTGTAATTCGTAATAGTAAATAACTATTCTTTGTGTGTATGATATGCACTTTTTACGATTTATTCACTTAATATTGTGTGTCATTTTACTGACTCTGAAACATTTGCACTCTTTTACATAATAAAAAATAGCCATTTTGACAGTTAAAATTGTATTGTAGGTTTCAAATTTGTTTAATAACGGATAGCTTAAGTTACTTAATGGTTACACATGACTATTTTATAACCCATTTTATTCTTACAAGGATAAACGTGTAACATTTTTCTCGGATTAGTTATTACGTTTTCTGGTCTGTACGTTCAGTTGGCTGAACGTTGTCTCAATGGCAATCATACCACATCTCCTTTTTATATAGCAAACAAAATAAAAACGGGAAAAAAGACCGAAAAGACGAAAAAATGTGCCTATACGCTGCATAGAAAGTAAAAGATGAAGTAAAATAAACTCGACAAAAAATAATTATAATCGAAAAAAATTGGATACAAATAACCTTTGTTTCCTTTGAGTAAGAACTAATAACTTTTTTTTAATTCCATATGAATCGTATTTTACTATTGAAAAGTCTCTTTTTATACTAAGTTCTACTACCTAAATTTATTTTCTCGCCTAATCGTTATCGCCTTTAAACTTTTCTTTTTGGCCGACTTTGTGATTATTTATTTCCCCGATTTTTGAACTTTGCAACAACCATGTGGAGAAGGAACTGCTTACCTTTCCGGAGCACACGAGTCCATTCCCAGTTTTTTTTCGGTTCGTGTTGCTCAATCTTAAGTTTTCCGTGTAATGTTTTGTTATCATCGTTTGTCATTTCGACGTTTTTATTTTTCGCCATGCTGATGTCCGTTTTTATTGGATTATGATGATGGATGGCTGCTTAACGTCCAGCGGCAAATTAATATGCACATTCAGGACGAGAAAATTTTAATGTAATATGAATATAAGCCCTGCTTTGTAGTACTAGACCGACACGCTGAGTCGGATTTTTACCGTGCTAGTTCACAAGGTAACAGTCCGCAGGAAGACATGTCACCTTACCCGGACACATTATTCTGACTCCGCACCGACCAGTCTTTGCTCTTACGCCTTAATGCCGCGTGCTTAGCAAAGAAGCAGCAAATACCTATTTTATAGTCTTTGGTTTAACCCGGCCGGGGTTCTAACCTACGACCTCCCGCACTCTAGGCGAACAGGCTACCACGAGACTAACGAGGCGCTTTCGTTTTTATTGGACTTATGATTTCTCACACTCTTGGTTGATACATTTAAATGTGAGGAAATCCAAAATTAAAGTATTCTCAACGATTTAATTCGCATAATTTGCCTCCCTGTAAAAGTCGAGTAAATAATCGCTCGCCAAAATTAGTTGGTGTGCAATATTCAATCTTGTAAAATTAGTAGCAACTGCTGGTAGAATACACGACCCCATGAACATTCTTATGATGTGTTTTTTTTCTGATCTATTTCACCTTTTTTTCAAATCATTATGTTTTCATGCTTCACAGACTTTAGACAGGGAAATATTAAGACCTTGGTGTCTTCCTTGGACAATATCAGGAAGAACTTTAACATTTAACTGGAAAAATAAAGGTGTGATCGAGCACACCGTCTGCACTGTGACAATATACACAAACACAAGCAATCACGGGAAGTGCTCCTTAACAACAACGACAGTGTCCTCAAATAGTGAGTATTCTGTACAATGCATGCAGTTTTCATGAAATTTAAAGTCTTTGTTTCATCTTAATATATGTACCATAAGAAACAAGCAAACAACGAGCAAAAGTGCAAGAAGCAAAAAAATAACAAAAGTATACGTTAATAAAAGAGTTAAACAAGAGGCTGTCAGAGTGACAGCAAACCGGATTTTCCTGCATGAAAATGATATTTTCAAATCTGGACCCCCAAACAGGATCAAGTAAAAATTAAACATTAAACATTAACACACCCAACAAAAATAAAATACCACATAACAACTGTGACATCTACCTTCAAAACACACATGACTTAAAAAATAGCTATCAAGAAATTTTTGACAACTCCTGATTAGTGTGTGGTTGATTGTTGTCTCATTGGCAACTATACCACATATCCTAATTGATATAAAACTATGAATGTATTGATCACAATACATGTTTCTACAATGATTATCATTATGTTCGCTCGTTACAAACACTTTGGAAAGCCAAAAAAGTATGGATATAACAGTTAAAATCTTGTAAGGTCAGCTGCAACCTCAGTTTTAGCAGAATTTCACATTGCTGAGCAAACAGAAACCGTTTTTATCTTATAATCTAGATTATTTTTGACAATGCCGTTTAAATCAATGTGGTACCGAAGTTCTGGCTCCTGTTCGGATGAAATATTTGAATAAAAAACCGTAACCGACAGATGCTTTCACATTAATAATATTGTTTTCTTTTTACATAGGTGTTGGAAAAGAACATAATAGTGTGCTTATAGCCACAGTTGCTGTTGCAGTAGTAGCTATACTCGTCCTATCGACAATAATCGTAGGATACTTCATAATAAGCAATAGGCGTCAAACAGCTGAATCTGGACAAATTGTTAACTACTTCCACCATCAATCATCAGTTCAAGGTAAAAATTGCTCAGACATAAGTTAATAATTTGTTATAAAATATGATGTAGATTCAAGTTCAATTTTTATTATCATTAGGTCTTTCCACTTTTCGTGGAAAGACCTTTTGTTTTTCTTCTGATTATTTTGTTTTTCTTCTGCCGTCTGAGATGCATTTTTGTTTTTCAACATATCGAAAGGATTTTTTGGCCAATGATGTTGTACAGTAATGGGGATTTCAAAACTCACCCTGTGTAACTGAACACTAATTCTTATAGGAGGTATCTCCCCGCGTCCCCCTTTTCTTGTTATCTTTATATCTCTGAAACCGTAAAATATTTTAACAAACTGTTTTCCCCAAATTGTTTGTCTGCTCTTAAGAATGGTTTGGTTTAATTTAACTGATGTGATTGGATGACATCTTATGGGAGTTATTTCCCTTTGAAAATTTCACATAGGTGATATGTTGGATAAATTCATACATTATAAGTCACAGAGGCCTAAACTCTTTTGATATGAAGTCCTTGGTCCAATTGGAGGAAATTAAGGTCAAGGTCAAAGGTCAAGGTCATGTTCTAAATTTTAAAATTTGCTTGTTATCTTTATTCAAAAGAAACCGTTAAGGTTAATGATATGATGTGTTTGCCATGTAATTGTTTACAATAGGGCGCAACTTCAACCCGTTTAAGTCGAAGTGTTTTGGTCAACCCTTATAGGAGTTTTTCTCCCCTTATGTATTTGAAATCAGCATAACACATAAACCATACAAGTGAATGACCTGGGATCTTTCGATTTGAGATCACTGACTTATGACCTCGTAATTGAGATCAAGGTCAAAGGTCAAGGTCATGTTCTAAATTTTGGCTTGTTATCACTTATTTTCAGAAATCTTGTAAGATATCGACAAAATATTTTTTACAGAATTGTTAGTTGCGACAGTCGAACACATAAATTTTAGTTGAAAGGGTACGTAGACATTTGATGGGAGTTTACGCCCCTTTTATATCTAATATTAGTAGTATGGTAATATAACTCATTAGCAATATATAGTAGAGGCCTAGAGTCTTTTGATTTGAGACCCTTGTTTCATGACCTTGAAATTGGGGTCAAGGTCAAAGTTTGATTTGACGTTCTAGATTTTGACCTTCGCTTTAACTTTTGACTTATACATAATAAACTTATGGGACTTTGTGCATTAAGTTGCAAGTCATATGACCTTGATGAAATCAACTGGAAATGACCTTTTGTAAACCGGAAATAGCAATTTTTTGTACTTATTTAATGTAAAAGTACATAGAACCATATATTTTTGGAATCAGTGTCAAGTAAACTATCAGATGAGACCAAATTTGACATTTTTCAAACCGGAAGTAACAACTTATCTCCCTTATTTCAAACAAAAATGCGTAGAAACCATGTATTTATATATTCAACGTACAATAAGCTATCATTTGGCGTTGAAAATTACATTTCTAACCGAGTTTTATTATTTTTAATATCAAAATATATTGTATCGGGTGGAAAGACCTTCAATTTTTCTCTGAACAATTGGTTTTTAATTATTATTATTATTATTATTATTATTATTATTATTATTATTATTATTATTATTATTTATTAAAAGTAGTACACCGAAACCAATTTATTGCGCCATATGTGAGGTTCAAAAATTTAATTTTTGGTCAATGGTGATATAAATCAAATATTGACACCAATATTATGAGTCAAGCCCTTTCCAACTGATTTTTAAGGTTAGTTCTTATGATGTGCTGTTATGATTACTTCACTGTCCCAGATTAGGTGGATGGTTGAGCGTTTTTTTTTATAAACATGTTTAACCCCACCTCCAGTAATTGTCATTGGTTGCTCACTGCCATAACAGTTTTTTATTAGTTGTTTTTGCATACATTCTCTTTTGAATTGTTTTACATGTTGCAATACCGGAGCCTTCTACAGCTACTGTACGGTATGGGTTTTGCTCATTGCCAAAGGCCAACTGTGACTTGTAGCTGTTACACTCTCATCCTTTTGGTCACTGGCGGATAGGTGTCTCAATGACATCGATACCACATCTTCTTATTTGGTAATGATATCCTGTGGAATTTAAAGTCCACCATCGTGGTAAAAAAAAAAATGCGTACTGCCGAAATTTATGTGATATACCATGTCAGCAAAAAATGTCATTTGGGTTAGTTTATGAGGTTTTTTATTTGTCGTTGTGTTGATATCTCATTGATGTCTAACCCAAATCTTCTTTTCACCATACTCGTTGCTGTATATCGTATTTATTTCGTTTATTGTTTTATGCATAAATCAAACCGCTACTATTCTCGTTTGAATTGTTTTACATTAGTCATTTTGGGGGCCTTTATAGATTACTATGCGATATGGGTTTTGCTCATTGTGGAAGGCCGTATGGTGACCTAAAGTTGTTAACTTCAACGTCATTTGGTCCCTGGTGGAGAGTTGTCTCATAGGCAATCATGTCACATCTTCTTATTGTTATACATATTATGTAGTAACTACGTACTTGTTTTATTGTTTTCCATTTAGATTCTATAATTAACTATATTTATATATGTACTAAAAATCATTTATTCATCTTTAAAAAAAAACAAGAATTTAAAGCAAATATACAGTAAAAAAAATCTCCTTCTTTGAAGTATTGATTTTTTTTTTCATTTGCAACTTCTTGTGTCAAATACACATAAGAATCTAGCGCATCAATTAGGTTAGAGCTGACATGATATTTATGCATGCATAGCGGGAGGCGCTAATCCTGTCGACACACTTGCTCTCGTTCCTTTTAGTTCATGCGTCTTCCTCGGTTTTAGTGTTTACTCTGACTTGGATCTTTTTAAAAAACGTTAAACTATTGTGATCTCTAATTGATTGTCTTTTATCATATTTTCTTATAACTAATTATATATAAACCTTTGTAGGTCAACGAATAGTTTCCAGATGTACAAGTACGTCGGTTACTTTTTGTTTTGATTTATATATAGCGAAGCTAAATGTATTAACACATTAACCTCACAAATATTATTATGACAAACAAAACGAACTATTTATATTTTTTACTAATTAGGTCTTTCCACTTTTCCGTGGAAAGACCTATTGGTTTTCTTCTGATTATTATTATTATTTTTTTTCTTCCGCCTAATTTGTTTTCCTTCGCTGTTTTTTTGTTTCGCAAGATGTCGCTTAGACATATGGTATATGATATCGAACAGTTAATACGCTTTTGAAACTGACACCGCGTAACCAAAAACTTTTCGATGTAAGAGTTACCTCCCCGAACACTGTTTTTCTTGTTATTACTTATATGTCGCAACCGCATAAGAAACCGACTAATTTATTTTACCAAATTGCTCGTTATATCCTCAGAATGATTTGGTTAATTTTGACCGAAGCTATCCGGAGACTCCATATGAGAGTTATTTCCCCTTATGCATTTGATATAAGTGATGTGCATTTGTAACTGAAAAACCATAACTTATAGAGACCAGAGGTCTTTTAATTTGAGGTCCTCGGTCCAAAAAAAAAGAAAATAAGGTCAAGGTCAAAGGTCAAGGTCATATTCTAAATTTTGATTTTGGCTTGTTATCACTTATTTTCAGAGATTGTATAAGATATCGACAAAATATTTTTACAGAATTGTTAGTTGCGACATGTCGTAACACGTAAATTTTAGTTGAAAGGGTACGTATACATTTAATGGGAGTTTTCACCCCTTTTATATCTAATATTAGCTGTATGGTAATATAACTCATTAACAATATATAGTAGAGACCTAGAGTGTTTTGATTTGAGGCCCTTGTTTCATGACCTTGAAATTGGGGTCAAGGTCAAAGTTTGATTTGACGTTCTAGATTTTGACCTTTGCTTTAACTTTTAATGTATGCCTGATAAAGCTATGGTACTTTGTGCATTAAGTTGCAAGCCATATGACCTTGAAAATATCAACCGGAAATGACCTTTTGTAAACTGGAAGTAGCTATTTCTTGTCCATATTTAATGTAAAATTACATAGAACCATATATTTTTGGAATCAGTGTCAAGTAAACTATCAAATGATACCGGAAGTGACCTTTTTCAAACCGGAAGTAACAAATTATCTCCCTTATTTCAAACAAAAATGTATAGAAAACTGAAACCATATATTTTTAAATTCAGCGTATAATAAGCTATCATTTGCCGCTGAAAATTACATTTCTAACCAAGTTTTAATATTTTTTCACATCAAAATATATCGTTTCGGGTGGAAAGACCTTCAATTGTTCTCTGAACAATTGGTTTTTAATATATATAGGAATGCATTAAAACGTCTGACATGGCACTACTTTTAAATCTAAGGCGGGTTTTAGTGACGTTCGTGTTAAGTGCACGGCGCATTTTTATTTAGAAGAATCGATCAATGATAGAAACACACAACAGTTACCAATCAATTCAAAAGAAGGGGTATATATGAAACTAAGAAGATGTAGTATGATTGACAATGATACAACTATCCATCAGCGAATAATGATGTAGAAGTATAGCCTTTTATCAATGATAAATCAAATATTCTTCCATATCAAATATGATAGTACCAGCTTTTATGTTACTCTTTTTAAAAAAATTATATATCGTTCTCTGGCTTGTTGATTATTTTCAAATCGTTTGAATTCCACTTGGTAAATTGGAGATATCATTTTCACAACATTTAAACGGAAATATCAGATTTTAATTAATTGTTATATTAAATATACACTACTCAACAAATGCTCTCTGTTTAATGCTAAACAAGACTCAAAAGTATATTATAGTAATACAGTGGCAATACTTATCCGGTTGGCCAAATGAGCATACCCCCTAATCATTTTTTGCTATCCAAACTTTTGGTCCCGAGCGTGCCGTGGTGACACACGTGATGTGCGCACAGAAAACTACTTTTTACATTTAACTCCGAAACAGCGGTGACGTTGCTTTGGCTAACTTTCAATGTGGCGTAGTAAAGACGACAGTAACAAAAGACGACAGTAACACTGTTTCGGAGTTTGCTTTTACACAAAATGCACTAAATATACTTGGTTTTGAACAGAATTGAAGTAATGTAAATCCAAAAATTATTGCGATGTGTTAATTAATGCGAATAATGCGAATGAGTGGATATTGCAACAATGAGAACTCGCATTCTTTCACATATATCTGTATGTTGCTTTTCCAAAATTGGCAATATTTTATGTGGCATTTTTGTCCATTCCTCAAAAATCGCAATAACAAATGCACACAAACATTTCTGAATCTACTTCTTTTATAGTAGTTGTGGAACTTTAAATTTATTATCTTCAATAAAAATGATTATAGTCATGTCTTTCAGTGCTAATTGTAATGTTTTACTGTATATTACTTATTAAATACACTGTATACTTTTTTGTAGTTGTGACACCACCACCTTATAGCATTGCAATAAGAGATAGTCCTTTGTCCAATTCAAACGATACTAACAACAACCCTGCTGAATCGGGGTATGTTTCAGAAGTATCATTGACCAGAAGTGATCCATCAGAGAACATAATACGGAATATTGATGATTTAGATCCAGACATGGACTGCCCACCGCCTTATTGCGTGTCTTCAAACGACAACACAACATGATAGGAAATTTGATTGGTTTATATCTGATAATTATAAAGGTTTTATTCGAAAACTGGTAACTGATATCTCTCAAAAACAAGAAGAACGCAAATTTTGGGGGTAATTGCCTCAAAATTTTAGGAATTAGGGGCCACAAAGGGGAAAAAAAACCAAACATTTTTCTAGTTTCAGGACAATAACTTGTGTGTAAGTGTATGGATCTTTCTGAAATTGTACTACAAGGTTCCATATCACAAAGGGAAAGCTTGAATTGAGTTTGGGGGTAATTGCCCTAAACGTTTAGGAATAAGGGGCCAAAAATAAGCATTTTTATAGTTTCCAGACAATAACTTGTGTTCAAGTGTATGGATCGCTCTGAAATTGTACTGCAAGGTACAATACCACAAAGGGAAGGGTGGGATTGATTTTGGGGGTAATTGCCTCAAAATTTTAGGAATTAGGGGCCAAAAAGGAGCAAAAAACAAGCATTTTTCTAATTTGAGGACAATAACTTGTGTGTAAGTGTATGGATCTTTCTGAAATTGTACTACAAGGTTCCATATCACAAAGAAAAAGCTGGGTTTGAGTTTGGGAGTAATTGCCCTAAACGTTTAGGAATTTGGGGCCAAAAAGGGGCCTAAAAACAAGCATTTTTCTAGTTTCCAGACAATAACTTGTGTTCAAGTGTATGGATCTCTGAAATTGTACTGCAAGGTACCATACCACAAAGGGAAGGCTGGGATTGAGTTTGGGGGTGATGAATCATAAGGGGGTTCAAAAAATTTGGGGGAGGGATTTATTTTCCTTTTTTTTTTCTTTAAAATTTTCCATTTTAAATTGGTTATTTCTGATTTATATATAAAAGCAAATAATAATGATATGGTTTGAATAGGTAAATTAAAAATTTTTAAGTTCTTAGACCACATTCATTCTGTGTCAGAAACCTATGCTGTGTCAAATATTTAATCACAATTCAAATTCAGTGCTGTATCAAGCTTGAATGTTGTGTCCATACTTGCCCCAACTGTTCAGGGTTCGACCTCTGCGGTCGTATCAAGCTGCGCCCAGAGGAGCATTTTATTTTATTTCAATATGCTCTTAAACTTCGTAATTGATTTTTGCTTTTCAACTTTTTTGATTCGAGCGCCACTTATTAGTCTAATGTAGACTAAACGCACATATGGCTAACAAATTATAAACCTGGTATCTTTAATGAGTGGTTCTTACTATGTAAGAATCAACCTGGTTAAAGCGATATGCATCAAGATAAACTACGAGACATTAACATCACCTTAAGACTGTTTGAGATTGGATTATCAATTAAAAATACATAGCTGCTTATTTTATCAACTTAAACATGTAAACTGTACCTATTTATTTTTAAGCTGTCTCAAAAAATTTGTAGTTACTTCTAATTCACAACATTTGTAGTCACAGTCACAAACATTTGCCATGGCGTCAGTTTCTCTCGACTTATGAACGTGTCCATTACGTGTTTGTTATTTTTTTATTTCTACTGAAACATGTTCTTGTAACTTTTTTTCTTCAAGCTTTGAACAACAGTCCCTCCCAAAAAGAGATATCAATTATTGATTTTAACGATTGCATAAGCGGTATTTGACACAACTTTTGAAAATTATCAGTTTTGCATGCTCGTCAACTTCGTATTTGATTTGACCTTCCAACTGTTTGTATTCGAATATCACTGATGAGTCTGATATAGGCTAAATGCGCGTCTGGTGTACCAAATTGTAAGCCTGGTATCTTTGATTAGTTTTAAAACCATTTGTCAATGAATTATACATTAATGTATCATCAACAGTAAATGTTGGTGTCATATTTTAGTAATATAACTTCATATCGAGTAACATTATGTATCACGTATGCAAATTACTCTTGCTATGACTTTTTGTATCTTTTGTTTCATTACGTCATTGCAAATAAAGGGAGACGATCGATTTTTTTTTAATAATTGGTCTATGATTAATACAGTACTGTTCCATAAAACTTTTGATAGTGTCTGATATTGGTAAAGCATTATGTAATATGTATTTAAATTATGTAAGTTAATTTATTCTTGCCATAAAACATGAGTGAATAACATGATTTGATAGACATTAAGAGAGCGTTCACGAGAGAGAATAATAAGTGGGAAAATATTACTAGTAACCTACCTTTTTAAATAAATAAATAAATTTACTTAATATGTTATCTATTCGATTATCCGTATTTATTAAAAATAAACTTAACATTATATATTTATAGTTGTAAAATTGTGGTCGTACACTCACCAGGTTCTGAAAGCACTGGTTTTGATTGTAACTCATGCTTGCACATCAAAGGCAATACCTCCTGCTTATAACCAAACGCTACAGCCCACTCGCACACATCAACATTGAGAACAACAGGCTTATACAATCGATTGTCTTCACTATGTCATTTTACTAGAGATTCGAATAAATACCGTTTTCATTATTAACAATAGTGTATGATCATACGTGTCATCATTAATTAGACAGTATTATAAATTGGACCGTAATCTAATTCTGCATTTCGTAAAGATCATCTTCCAATCGTGTCACACCAAATGTAGTATTTGAAAGTACATCTTGATATATGACAAACCTTCCAAAGTATCCTCCTTTTGGTTAACCGAAACTAATGATTCTGTTATACAAAGTTAGTACTACTAGTAACTATATACATAAATGCAGAGACATATAATACAATGTATTATACGTCTCTGATAAATGGTATTTGATTTTGAAAGAATTATATTTTTAGTAATAGATAATCATAGTTAAAACTTAAGCGGATCTCCAAAAGACATCGTCGGGATTCATACTGCTGTGTCTAGGGATTTCGATAGTAGCAGCACCTGGATACAATTATGCGCTCTAAACAACATAAACCTAAGTCAGGAGCCTGTTGTTCAGTGGTTGTCGTTTGTTAGTGTGGTTCATAAGTGTTGCTCGTTTCTCGTTTTTAAATAGATTAGACCCTTAGTTTTCCTGTTTGAATTGTTTTACACTAGTTTTTTGGGGTCCTTTATAGCTTGCTGTTCGGTGTGAGCCAAGGCTCCGTGTTGAAGGCCGTACTTTGACCTATAATTGTTTACCTTTTACACATTGTGACTTGGAAGGATAGTTGTCTCATTGGCACTCATACCACATCTTCTTATTTATATAAACGTCGTGACTATCCTGTGTCATATAACTAGAGATGATAAACAATATACGATGCATTGTCATCATGAAGATCTTTGGTTTTATAACCCTTTATGTTCTCGTTCGTTGACGTCTGGATCGTTTTCTATGAACATAAAATTAGAAATGCACATCAAATGCAGTGAAATCTTACGTCTGACTTTGATTTATAACTACCACTGTGCCAATACCAATGTTTATTTCCGAAGTTCTCACTCGCTCAGAAATTAAAGTCTCGGTTTTGACCATGGTTGATTGTGTATATTTTCATAATTGGTAGTTTCTATCTTTGAATTTTCAACTAAAGTTAAGAACTCAAAGGCAAAATTGATCTGTAATTGTTTCTGCTATACTTTTCCGGATTAAATTTCATCAGCAGATTTCAAATCTAAACATTTGAAAGTCAGGGATGTAAAAATACGTAGAAACTTTAGGATCTATATGCCCAAAAGAGACCTAATAGCCAAATTCATTTAAGGTCATCTATTGTTCCCTGGTGCCATGTCGACTGGGAGCGTTCTGAATAAGGGTTAGCAAGGAAAGCACCCAACAGAGCAAACGAAGAATCTTTCTCTGATAGCACTTTTAAAGATTTATTTCTATTGATATTGACAATTGCGGTCTCGCTCTTCATTGTTCGTTCATTTGTTTAACGTGTTGTTTTTCAGTTTTTTGTAACTGAGCTTTTGAAATTTCAATAAATGTATACCAACTCCTTTTATATGGCGAGCATTTATACTTGAAAACCTGACGGTGATATCAAATTAGTTAAGTAGGCGATAGTAAATCCTATTCTCCTCTACAACATTGAGAAAAAAACCAGGTACAAGTAATTTATCTTTAAAGACACATACCTCTCTTTTGGTTCTTACAACCAATTGAAAACATGGATGATATTGCCGATGTTTGAATCTTTCTTTACATGAGTCAACCTAAATTTCTAAAACAGACGATTTTTCCAAAATATTTGCACAATTTGACTCTTTACTCAATTTCGTTGATATTTTACCGAAATTCTTTTTTTTTTTGCGTTTTCATAAGCTATATGGGTATACATATCAATGCATCTATTTGGATTGAATTTCAGTCACCTATAACATTTTTACTTATTTTTTATGCTTTTTTCTCTGGTGGTGAGTCTTACATTTAGCATTATTATTGGCCATATTGGGTTAACAGATCTAGTCATACATTTTGTAGTAAAATAATTCCACCCATTCAACGCATACTGGTCCTTAATTTATAAATTACAATCTTGTTAGAGGATTCACTATGAAAATGACAGAATATGTTTTTTACCACTGCTCACATACCGTTTTTCGTCCTCTTGAAATGGAATGTTACAAGTATCGTTCATTTGTTTGGTCATTACGCGTTTTTCGTCCTTCCGCACATTGTTTAGGAAATATCGTATTTAATGAGTAACTGGATTCCAAATGAATCTTTGTATTAACCAGAGTCGAAATACCGTTAGCCTTAATCCACAAACTTGAAACAAAAACAAAATATATTTGTGGATCCAATTGAGGATTATGCAAGACAATGATGTAAACGTGAACAGGAAGGTATAGATACATTTCTAAATGAATAAAGTCTGTAATGTCGTTGATACAAACCATAATTTTAAAAACTTAATGGGTTATATTAAGACTTATGCTACATTGATCTGCAAAGATCCGAATGTTGCTACACACAGAACCTTTTCATACCAAATATTGTATGTCCTGAACCCCTCCAATAATATCGGCTTTGTTTGTAAATATCATCGCATAAACTGCCTGCTTAGAGAATAACATATAGACAATTCACTTGCAAACCAAGAATATACTTCCATGACTGTTACCAAAGAGGAAATCCTGTACAAGTATAGATCTATGGTCCTTTGTAATTTCAACAAAATTTTAAGGACTTGTTCTTCCATTACTGTATTAAATACAAAATTAAATAAGAATCCTTACAAAACAACCTTATAATGCTGGGTATGCCTAATGCTCCATAACACCTTTCCAAATTATTAAAATCCATGTTATCAGCAATCAATCATGATAAAGTTATGGATAAAATACCTACTTTAGTATTGGTAAGAATCAGATATGGATTCTACTTTAAATCCGTTAGAGTAAAACCTATCCAAAAAAAAGTTAAAAAAAAACTATACCGAACTCCAAGGTATATTCATCCAATGAACCAGACAAATTCAAACATTAGTCTATATCAACCAACGGAACGAATAGAAAATAATTGTCATATTCCTGACTTGGTACAGACATTTTCCAAAAGAAAATGGTGATTTAAACATGGTTAAATAGCTAGCTAAACCTCCCACTTGTATGACAGCTGTATATAGTTCCGTTGTTGTGAACAAAGTGGGTGTGCAACCAAAACAGACATAATTGGATAATGTGACAATAACTGGGATCCAGCAGCATAAATTGTGCAAACATACTTAAAGAGAGACGAAACTAACCAAAGGGATATTCAAACTCGCAAGCCGAAAACAAACTGATAATGCCATGGAAAAAAAAGAAAAACCGTTTCAAAAAACGAACTACAATATAAAAGTACAACATTGAAAAGTAAAGACTAAGCAACACGAACCCCACAAAAACCGGTATTTCAGGTGATCAGGGTTGGTAAGCTGATTGGTTGGTATGTGGCACCGGAAGTGTTCTGATGTAAGTTCAAACCCGGTGATAAGTCAAATTCGATAGGTTACATTCGGTGAAAATAGGACGGTATTGTGGTTACGACGATTGGATTATATCCGTCGTAATCTGTGATACAGATATTCCATAACGGTCAACGAACTCTGATGGCGTTCGTAAACTTTTCTATGGGGTGATTTTGACTTCATATTTAGTAACTGTTAGATTAATGGCTTCCTTGTAAGCAGCAAACCTCTTTCAAGATAATCGTGATTGGAAATGCAAGCTCTAGAATATCGTATCAATTGGGAGATATATGCTCTTTTTGCAGGCGCTGCTAAAATGTGGCCAAATAGAAATAGATAGTTCACAATTGGGATCGAAATCATCTCTTTCGTCGTAAGTTTTGTTCTCAACCTACCCTCATTGTCCATTTTCTAGTTGTAAAAATCAAGATATGAGGCGTGACGTAAAAAGATAATGCTAGCTTCTTTTCATTCTTCATAAGAAATTCCTGTATGAAGTCAGCCTCATATGAATAAACAAGTCGACAAGAAGAGGAGCATAGATTGTTGGAATTCCGATTGTTGGTTGAAAAACACGTCAGAGATTTGTGATTTTTACCAAATACGATTTATGTTTTAGTTTGATATGGGAAGTACTTGTGTAAAGGGTAGAAAAGCCATATATTTAGTACTATTGCAAGAGTAAAGAGACTCAGATTGTATGTATTTTTTTAGCATCTACTTCTGAATCAATAATTTTGAAACCCAGCTTTGATTGCTGTTAAAAGTGATGTTAATAATTTAGAAAGATGTTTCATGGAGCACTTGGAAGATCCAGCCATATAACGTGGTTTATAAGAACACTTATGTAATTTAGGTATCCAATACAGTTAAGGAAGATCCAGTTCTTCATCTTTGGTTGAAATTCCACAGAACAGATTATTCAGGATATTCTCATTGGTTAATGTCGTAGGGGTATATGTTGAGTTTCCAAGTGAATTGTCCATACCTTATTCTTTTATCAAACAGTTTATGTAATGTGATTAACACAGAAAAACGATGTTGTTTGTGGCTTTATCTGTGGGGACAACAACATATTTTTCATTGAGGTAAGACAGGTGCTAAGTAGCATTTGGGTCTTTAAAGATCGACGTAGCTTGTGTATTCATAGACCCATTCAGTTTTTTAAAATTCTAATATGAATCCACGACCTTACAACCTTAACCCATTCGGAAAGAGAGTATACGCTTTCGTTCGTGCGTTTATCATATTGCCTGCAAAGTCCTCGATTGAATCAATCAGTATTTTGAAGTTGTGTTTCCAATTGAAGATTTCAGGATCACGAT